GCTCCTCCATCAGGTCCAATAGTCTTACTTGAGGCTTTTACTCCGGGGAGGAACCGGTGGAATCTACTGCAAAAAGAGTGTAGTACAAACAAACAAGCCAACAGCCAGGCGATCCCAGGCTTTTCCACCCCACACCCCCAAATCTCGGTTCCCTTTCAACCCTCCCGGGACCCCCAGCCCTTCCCCCTTCTGAACCCCAGATCTCTCCCCCCCTTTCACCTTATAACGCCGCTTCTGCTTGATCCTCCCGCCGTGCATGTCCATAACGCAACGCAAATGCCAGGCCGGCCGGGCCTGGGCTTTGCTGCGGGTGGCGGGATTACGTAGCCCCAACAGGAAGCCTGGGAAGAAGCTCGGGAGGGTGGGGTGGGGGTGGAAGTGGGGAAGAGAAGTGTGCAAGGATCGGGAATCCTTGTTCCTAAAAAGCCAAACTAGCCTGGGGACTCCACCGACCGTGCCCGCGGGCGGGCTCCGAGAAATGAGCCACTCCGGCGGGGCCACCCCGAGCTCCGAGAGGCCTGGCAGCTGTGGCGAGCAAAGGCGCAGTCAAGGAGAGGAGCAGCGGCGGCGGTGGTGGCGGCGGCGGCGGCGGCTGCAGCAGCCTATGGAAAGAGATTGACTTCTGACTACAGCCCCGGGGAGGAGGAGCCGCGAGCCGACAGGCAACAGTGGAAAAAGCTTGCGGCCGTCCGGAGGCAGCCCGCGCCCGGCGCTTTTTGGCCTGCTGGATTCCAACTCGGGCTACCCCGCAGCATTTTACCCCTCAGCACAGGAGCACCTTACCTGCTCCGAAGTGGCTTCCCGAGACAGCTTCGGTCCCCGCCGGGGCATCGCTCCCGACCTCCTTCTCGGGCTGATCTTGGACGTGGCTGAAAGCGCAGCGGGGGCTTTCAGAGAGCTGCCAAGATCTCCAAGTGGGGAAGCTCCACCTCTCTCCAACGCGGACCTCAAGGCTGTTCTCGAGATTCCCCAGCGCTTTTTGTATCCTCCAAAAAGAGAGGAGACCCTCTTGTCTCCTCGCCTTACGGGGGAGGGGCGCTTGAGAATTTTGATTCGGGTTTGGTTTTTTTTAGAGGGGATGTGACAGAATAACAGAGTTGGAGGGGACCTTGGAGGTCTTCTAGTCCAACCTCCTGCTCAGGCAGGAAATCCTATATATACACCAATTCAGACATAATGGCTGTCCAGTCTCTTCTTGAAAACTTCCAGTGTTGGAGCACCCACAAGTTCTGGAGGCACTGATTAATTGTTTTAATTAGGACATTTCTCCTCAGTTCTAGCTTGCTTCTCTCCTGGATTAGTTTCCACCCATTGCTTCTTGTCCTGCCCTCAGGTGCTTTGGAGAATAGCTTGACTCCCTCTTCTTTGTGGCAGCCCCTCAGATATTGGAACACTGCTATCATGTCACCCCTAGTCCTTCCTTTCATCAGACTAGATATACCCAATTCCAGCAACCGTTCTTCATATGTTTGAGCCTCCAGTCCCCCTAATCATCTTTGTTGCTCTTCTCTGTACTCAATGTCTTTTTTACATCACGGCGACCAAAACTGGATGCAGTGTATTCCAAGTGTGGTCTTACCAAGGGTTCTGCTACTATCTCTTCAAAGAGAAAGAATCAAGGTGGCAGGGGGGCCCAACAATGAACTTGTCTTTTTGAGATGTGTGTCAACCATGGGCAATGTAAAAAAAAAAACAAAAAAGAGGGAGAGCCTTGGTTGCGCTGTTCTGAACATCAGCTTGACTGTTGATTTTTTCCATGGACCTTTCTGTGGTATTTCTCTTCTGATGTCTCCCTGGCAATTCATTCTTCCCAATCTGAAAAAGGCTCACAGGGCAGGAGGCCCTCATAATGATGTCTTCTTTGAGATTTAATGACAGCTTTGGAAATCAAGCTGATGGCTCCAGAAGTTTCATAATGATAGCAGGAGGATGAAAAAGCAGGAGGATGAAAAATATTTCTTGCCCCTCCTCTTTTCACTAAAGCAAAAGCACCTTGCTCCATCCAAGAGAATTTCATCAGAGATCCTTTGTGCTTCCAAAGATAACACAAATGCAAATTTTTCTTACATCGCTTTGAAAGAGAACCATGAGAGAACAGATCAAGGTAATTCTGATTATTATCCTTGCTCTTTCTCATGAGGCTGTTTCAAGGCCAGCTATATGACTCACTAGTTTTAAGCATCAAGTCAGCATTAAAGTGTCAAGCCTGTTCAGTTTCCTGGAGCAATCTCCCATGATTTAAATTTCATGGATCTCGGTTTTGAGCTAATTGTTCTAAGATGCAGGCTAGTCATACAAAGCATTTATCTTCAACTGAATTCTACCCAGACAATGTCACCAGAATCTAATACCATTCATGCAACATGCTACTTGATTGTTTAATTAACACTGGTTTACTGAATAAATCATGATTGACTGGGCTCACTCAATATGCTATAATATAACTGACAGTTGGCTAGATTCATTAAACATTCCTTCCAAAACCCAAGAAGATCACATTATAGCTGTAGTTGTATGTTCACTGAACCGGATCATAATCTATGTATGCAACATGGACAGATTACCAGACAAGCTGTTTATAATGTAAAAATAAGGAACAAAATGAATATGGACAAAGGCCTTAACACAAACAGAACTTTCACTTCCTTATAACGTCACAAATTTATTGAAATTCTCATGAATTTAAATTTAATTTAAATAAATATTATTTTTTAGAAATTAATTTCTGAGATCTAATTACAGTCTTATGGCCTGAGTTCAGTAGGCTGCTCCCAAGTAAGGAAGCATAAACAGAACCATCTCTTTTATTTTCTCATATTACAAGACATGACTGATGCCTTTACTGTTTGCGATTTTATTCACAACACAGTTAGAACCTGCAGAAATGTCTCCTTGGAAGATCCTGGCTGAGCTTCTGCCCAAGTTTGAAATGATGACTAGGGCTCTTTTGCACTTCTTGGAGACTTAATTATATAGGAGAACTATACTGGATGAACAACTTTTAATCTTACAGTGAAATAAGTTTAGGAGATTTTCTCCAGGTTCGCAAAACACTTTTAAACATTCAGACTTCCATACATGTCACAGGATGAGTGGGGTCATCAACTTGGAAAATCATGACTAAAACAAACTATGGTTTAAGGCAATATTGGAAACTACATATACTGACTGTGTTTGTTAATGGGAAATTGTTTGTCAAGATGTCTACGGAGATTCTCAGTCATCCAGGTGCTTTTTCAAGAGGCAACTGGACTTTCTGGTTTTTCTTTGAAGACGTTTTGCTTCTCATCCAAGAAGCTTCTTCACTTCCTTGGATGAGAAGAAGAGTTGAAGAAGCAGGGCAGGGCCAGTCAGAGGTGGTATTTGCCGGTTCTCTGAACTACTCAAAATTTCCGCTACCGGTTCTCCAGAACCTACTGAATACCACCTCTGACCCAGAGTCAATTGGAGTTGGCGTTAAAATAACTATGAAATGAATATGCATTTGGTTATTCAGGAGTGACACCAACAAACGATCTCTTTCATTAAGCAGCTCAAAGAAAAAGGAAATCTGCCCTCCATCCATGACAGGTAATAAATTGTGACGTAAAAATGAGACTATCCAATGGACTTCTTTTTCTACATTGTAGCTGAAAGGAAACCATCCTGACTTAGAAAAGGAGAAGAACAACTGCTATAATGCAGGGTTTCTCAATCTTGGAAACTTTAAAATGGGTGGACTTCAACTCCCAGAATTCCCCCGTCGGCATGCTGGCTGGGGAATTCTGGGAGTTGAAGTCCACCCATTTTAAAGTTCTGAAAGTTAAGAAACACTACTGTAATAAATGAGAGGAAAAAAATTTCAGTGAACCACACAGAAGAAAGAAAGAAAGAAAGAAAGAAAGGAAAGAAAGAAAGAAAGAAAGAAAGAAAGAAAGAAAGAAAGAAAGAAAGAAAGAAAGAAAGAAAGAAAGAAAGGAAGGCAGGGAAGGCAGGGAAGAAAGGAAGGAAAGAAAAAGAAAGAAAGAAAGAAAGAGAAAGAAAGAAAGAAAGAAAAAGAAAGAAAGAGAAAGAGAAAGAAAGAAAAAGAAAGAAAGAGAGAGAAAGAGAAAGAAAGAAAAAGAAAGAGAGAGAGAGAAAGAGAGAGAAAGAAAGAAAAAGAAAGAAAGAAAGAGAGAGAGAGAGAAAGAGAGAAAGAAAGAAAAAGAAAGAAAGAAAGAAAGAAAAAGAAAGAAAGAAAGTTTTGCATTTCAAGATTTTCCTGGAGATATTTTGCCTTGGCTTTAATCAAAGAATGAGCCTGGATGATTGATGAGCAATGGGGGAGGTAGTGTGGAAGGAGCGGATGCCTTCCTGGTGTGGAACCTTTCCGCTCCATAATTGTACCCCACTTCCGTAGTCTTTATTTGAAAGCTGCTTTCCTTGAGATAATATAGGAAACCTATTCTTCAGTAACAATCCCTGCCCTAGCCTTGCTCCCGTGTTTCCTGTAAGCATTTTAAAGACACAAAGGACTTTAAGCTCTAGAACAGGGGTCTCCAACCTTGGCAACTTTAAGACTGGTGGACTTCAATTCCCAGCAAAGCTGGATGAGGAATTCTGGAAATTGAAGTCCACTAGTCTTAAAATTACCCCTGCTCTAGAACAGGGCTCTAGAACAGAATTCTGGGAGTTGAAGTCCACCCGGCTTAAACTGGCCAAGGTTGGAGACCCCTGCTCTAGAAAGTCTTTCTGCCCTCAAGTCCTATGGAAACAAATTGGAGCTACAAACCCACTCAGTCCTTGCCACCAAGAGTGCAATTTGGCAGTTTTGGAGTCAAGAGTCCATAGTGTTAAAAAGGCGGTCTAATCAATGCCCCTTTCACCTGGAAGTAACGCACTTCGCTTTTTTTCGGAATATATAGCAAGATTTCTATCACATTTATCCTCCTGCTAAGTGGCACTCCTGGACATTTTCTCCCAATCCTTAGGTTCTGAAGGGAACCTTAGTTTTGATAGGGATTTCACAGGGAAAAACAATGCAATGGAAGATCCAAAGATATCTGCCATACAGATTATAGAACAGTCCTTCCTGAGCTTCTCCACCTAATTTTGTCTCTGGACTCTTCCTCAAATCTAAATCTTCTCCTTATTATGATTTAAAATAAAATATCAATTTTTAAAAAACCCCAAAGAAGGAAAAAGAAATATTTTAGAGTAATTCTATGTACACAGGGTATACCAAAAGTCAGGGGCCCCTGACAATTTATTGTATAAATTGTATGTTCAGTTTGGTGGCCACTTTTTCCCTAAGTGCTTCCTTACTTGTCTGACACATGACCTTTGAACTTTCATTAGTACCCTAACCTTTTCTCTGAGAAAAATAATAGCGATTAATAAAATTCATGAAACTTATTGTGATTGGCTTATGAAATCTGATACTCTGATGCTCCTGAACATGCTTTCATTCAGAGCTTTCTACTGATAGACCTGGGCCAACTGAGGTGCTGCACTGACTTGTTTTGAATCAAGTGATGGAGAGGACGTGTTAAAGTGTTAAAGGAGGACCCAGGAGACAAGAAAAGTTCAAAAGTTGAAATTCTGGTGACTGCCTAGACAATTACA